GTGTTTTCCTTTCCCAAAATTTCCCCCATGACCTGCAGGGGCTGCTTCCTCCACCAGGGGCTTCCCCCTCCTCCTCCTCGGGGCATCCCCTGGCAGAGGTGGCAGCTGCAGGGGCAGGCAGGGCTGTACCTGGGACATCTTGTTCACTCTGTTTGAAGTAGTTTGTCCATCCCTCAGTCTGTCTAGACAGTCTGTTAGCCAGCAGTCCACATATCGACCTACCCCTCCACCTGAATCCTCCATCCATCCATAGATCCACCCATCTATCTGTGCACACATCTATCCACCTGCTTCTCCACCTACCCATAAAATCCTCCACCTATTCTTCACCTATCCATTAATGTGTATATTCATCTTCCATATGATGAACCAACCATCCATGCATCCAGCCAGTCTCTCATCCATACACCTGCCCATCCATCCATCTGCCCATCCATATATCTATCTCTCCATCTGCCCATCCATTCACCCAGAGGAACATCCCTGCCTCCCATTCATCCCTCCTTCCCTCCCTCCCTGACCTCACAGGCTCTCCCATGTTCCCTGCCATGGCAGGACCCCCGGACACCCTGTCCAGGCGATCAGGGCCACGTGGGCTGAGCACCCACCCCCTCAGCTGCCCCATGGCCATGGGTGGTCCTGGCACCATCACCCCCAGCTGGGCTGGCAGGACACCCCAGAGGTGGCCATCGCTCTTGGGCACTGGACTGTGCAACACCCAACGGGGACAAAAATAGTGCCAGTGACCGCATGGGCCGGCGGCAATTTCTTCATCTGCCGGGCACACGTCAGCAGCGTCCCATGACTCGGAGAAGGGAGCGAGACAGGAAAGAGAGAGGGGGCAGGAAGCTGGTGGCTGGAAGTGTGTGGGGCTGACGTGGGCAGGACGTGTCAGGGCCCAGGCACGGTCCTGCTCAGAACATGGGAGAGCGGGGAACGGATTTTGGGCACAGGATGGGAGCAGAGCCCGGGGGAAGAGGTTTCCACCACGCTCGTGCTGGGTCTTGCTTCATGACCAGTCACACCCTGGGCTGAGGGGGCACTCACATGGCTGCAGCAGGAGGGCACAGCCCCAACCCTGTGCACCCCACTTGGCCACAGGGTGTTGTGCTGCCAGCAAGGCAGGAGGACATGGGGACACAGGGATGGTGTGATAGTGACACCCCCAGGCCTGAGGTCAAGTTCGTGCCTCAGTTTCCCCCAGTTGGACCCAGTCTGGGGCAGGGGGAGAGCAGGAATGTGGGGTGGGTCCCATGCCTCAGTTTCCCCAGGGCCACTGATTTGCTGGGGGCTGCAGCCTTCACCCTTTTTTTCACCCAAAATATGTGGTAGGGGAGCTGGTCACATCCCAGTCACCTCAGTGGGGCACAGGGAGGGCCATGTCCCCCTGTCCCCTCCCAGCCCCTGCCACCTCCACAGATCAGCTCTGTGACACCCCCCCCAGGGCTACACAGAAATAAAAAGAATAGAAATTTTATTGACATCAAAAACTATGTGAAAATACAACTTGGGAGGAGCTGGAGGGGTCACTGTCACCCCTTCATGACAGGTGACATCCAGGGCTGGGGGTGAACCACAGCCCCCCCTCTGCCACCTTGTAGATTTTTGGGGTGCCAGGGGCATCCCCAGAGCTGTGATGCCTTCACCCCTCCATGGGGCTGGTCCAGAGGCACCCATCCACTTGGGACACACAGGGCATGGGGACACGTCCCCGCAGCCCCAGGCTGTCCCCTTTAGCACTGGTGGCACATCACTGCCCTCGTGTCCCCTCCACCAGCAGGTCCCTGGGGACACCCACTCTCCCCCTGAGCACCCCCACCCCACGCAGGCAGGGCTGGAGGCAGAGGATGGCACGTGGGGACTAACCCCACTCCTGCAGGACACTGTCCCACTGCCACAAGGCCACCACGTCCCCAAAGCCACCACATCCCCAGCACGCAGGGGGTGACACTGCGCCTGACTCTGCCCCGCACCAGGGGAGCCTTGAAATTGAAAAATAATGAATATGGGGGTGGCAGGGGGTGGAGAGGAGGGAGGACCCCACTG